TTATTTACAAATGTCGTGTTTAAAACTGCGCTTATTAAGAAATGGGAAATAATATAGTTCGCATTTCTCAATGACCTAAGCACAATTTCACACTTGACATTTTAAAATAAAAATATTTATGTCCATTTTACTCATTTTCGATAATCCATTTTGCATAAATCATTATGCAAATGAGGAAACATTCATGAAGCGAACGTGGTAAAACTCGACTACATTCAGTGCAGAGAGCAGCGTGCTTATCCACTGATTATAAAGAGAGTCCATTATAGCCATAATGATTAAATCATAAGTAATTTCTATTGTTAAAAATCAATTGTAATTACCCTAACTACTAAACCTAACAGTTAAGAAAATGTCTAGAATGCATTTAGATATATTGGTTTTTATACGATAATGACGGCGTGCACAGAGATTAATAGGTAAATATTCTCTACGAAGACATTAGAAGTGTTAGACAGAAAACATTTTGGAATTATTTTTGTCCGTTTCTACCCCCACCTGTCATATTCATCTGACCTTGCACCAACCAACTATAACCTATTTTTGATTGCTGCAAAAAGATTTGATAATAAAAAAAATCTTTTCTCTGGTAGAAAGAAGATTCAGGAGTTCGAAATATATTTTCATGTCAATACCTGCGTAATTTCACTCAGTTTATCGAACCGCTGCCAGACAAGTAGCAACCAATCATTGAAATAATTGTTAATATTCAATTGAATTGAATACTTTATTTTTTAAGACTAAGCTGATAAAATTATTTATGACTCAACCTAATAAAAGCTCAAGAATGCGTTAAATGCTTGTTACTCTGAAGCTTTGCTTAGCAGATACAAATTTTTTTAAAAAATTGAATTTTTTTTCAAGACATTTCAACAAGTGTCATGGCTGCAGGTTAATTGTTAAGGAGCAATGTTATGAAATTCATGTGTAGTGACTTTGATTATCAGTCTGTTTGGTATACATGTAGCTTTGCATCAGACTATTCTAAACTTAACAAAACATCACTTCTAGAAATATCATTCTAGTATAAGTTGAAAAATATTGGAATTTAACTAGTAGCTCTAATAAATACAGCTATAAGATGAAGAAAGCGGCGATGGTTTTACAAAATATAATCTGCATTTCAAATATTCCGTCAAGAAAGCAACAATTATCACCTAGGTAATTGTAATTTCTGTTTCTGCTGTTGTGTAATAACATTATTTTTGTTTTACAATTTAAGCACACTTTATTATTCGTTACTCCCACGGAAATCAAGTAAAATTAAGCAACCGAAAATTTCCATAATTCTTCTCAGCATTGTTATTGATGTTAGAAATGCTGTCGCTCATGATTTCAATTTTTCTTCTTTGCAAATAATGCTGCATAACATATATTTATGTATAACCGGACCTCCTGTATAATGCGACTTGCAATTCATTTTTTGCATGAATTTTAATAAGTAAAAGGAAAATAATTACCTGAGTATAGTTCCAAAGATGCTTGATTTTTAACCTCTTCTAAACAAATGACCTGTGTATAGTGCGATACCCTATTTCTTACTTAAAACAAAGGCAATAATAAAAAAAACTCGCACTATATTCAAGTATGTAACTGAATAAGATTGTACTTTATTTCTGTAGTATAAGTTGATAAAATGATTTCTGACGTAACCTAATATTTTAGTGGGTAAGTTTTGAAGTCCTTATAAAAAAAAACTATTCCTTATAAGTAATCTCTGCATAACAGGATAAAAATTGTAAAAAAAAGCAATCTTCCATGTAGTAAGAGTTTTCCTGTATGGAAGCCAATTGTATTGCTTTTGCTATGGTTTGAAAGCAGTCAACTAGAGACAAGTGGTGGCATCGCTTCCGTTTGCATGAACCGATTATTAATATTATAAAATCTAAGCGGGCCGGTTATTGGATTACACGAACATAATCTTACATATTAATAACCGATATATAATAGCAAAAAATATTTGCTATAAGTTCTACGGAAGCTGAGAGAGTGTTTTCTGCGATTAATTTTGTTTTTTACTAACAAAAGAAATCATCTTGAAGTTTAAGATGAAGAGAACTTTGTCATAAATTTGATAGGTATACAACAACCTCCCGTAATATATATATATATATATACATATATATATATATATATATATATATATATATATATATATATATATATATATATATCAATGCAGCATTCTGGCCAGCAGGAGTAAACACGGATTCGCAACACGGGAAAAAAGCACCCCAGGAACACATGTATGAGGCGACACCGTTTTCAGCCTTTTTCTTACCAATTATTATTTTTAGAGACCTATATATAGCAGTGAAACACGCAAAGATGCAACTTATATATTATTAAGTTACTCAATATTACGGTGCGCGACTTCATTAATCTTTGGGCCACAATGATATTCTGATGTCTATTTGACACCCTTCCTGATCTGACCCATAGGTTGTCGTGAATCCGTACATGAAAATCCAATCCTACTTCGTGACCAATTGCTTCCGCCAATGTCCAGGTAAGCCTATGGCGTCTATCAAATGTCAAATATAAGGTTATTCACATTATTAGCCCCAATTTATAGCGGTGACCCCAACACGAATATAAATGGTTTGGGAAGACATATGAACTGAAGCTATGAGTTTGCATTACAAAATAAATTAAAAGTCACGGAACTTAGTACTTGCCTGTTAGCAAGGATTTCACTATCATTAACTTATTAAATGCCTGACCTGATACTCTGTTCCCCTCTTTTCCTAGTTCATTTTACGTGTGAAATATTTAAAGCAAATGACTCCTTTGCCTGAAATAAATTCTGAATTCGATGGAATCGTATGATAAACTAAAATTATCCAGCGCTTCTTTCGTTTAAATAGCCACTAGCAACTTTATAGGTTTTTCTTTGAACAAACTATCCGTCACGACTGAAAAGGGATAGAATATATGCATTGTTACTCTTTGTAGAAATAAAAACTTGCGCTTATAAGATTTAAGTTTCCTTCTGCTTATATATGTATGTATGTATCTGCGTATATATATATATATATATATATATATATATATATATATATATATATATTTGAAAATCATCTTCGAATACGTTTTCACAACATCGCCCACGTGACGACGACGTGATCATATTTAAACGGAACGCTGATCTTATATAAAATTTCAGTTATCTGTTTGGATTAGTTGTGCTCTCATGTCCATCGTCTTTTCAATTTGGATTTTTATATGTTCTAATGTTAATTATGTTTAAATGAAAATGTCCTGAAGATGGTCTAAAATAGACCGAAACGTCCGACGTTGACTTTATATTAACATTAATACAGCATAATTGCATATTAACATTTTTGTTTGTTATTTCTGTATATTTTCTTCATATATATATATATATATATATATATATATATATATAATATATATATATAAATATAAATAAAATAAATAAATATATATATATGTATAATTATTTATATATTATATACTATGGTACTTATTAGAAAGCGCTCAATATCAGAGATAGAGCTAACATATTTGATTGGATACTTTTCACATAACCCAGGGTCACAAACTCACATCTATCAACCAAATATATATATATATATATATATATATATATATATATATATATATATATATATATAAAAATATATAGAAAATAGGAAGGAATTGGTTAGGTAAATAATCCAAATTTCCTTAGTATTTTAGTTATTATTTTAATAGTGCTCGATACAAAAGTAGAACATAAATATAATTACAATTATATATATATATATATATATATATATATATATATATATATATATATATATGATGTATACGGAATAAATTCGGAATAAATTCCAATAGCCAACAATTACTATTCTTAAAAGTATATATATATATATATATATATATATATATATATATATATATATATATATATATATTTTTTATTAATGTTCTACTAATGTTCACTCAAACGAAACACAAGAACCTCTCGAGATAGAGAATTAAGAAATAAGATGTGTGGTATATTCATATGAGGAAGAAGAAAGAAGAGAAGATTATAAGGATATGGAGAATAGATATCGATTGACTCTGGATTTGAAGAGGTTAAGATTGTAAAGTTCAGGAAAGCATTCAAGCGGGAATATCTTCCACACAGTATCAATTATTGGGAAGAATTTGCCTTACAAATGGAATACGTATCGAATGTATTCTGCGATGGGGAATTATTCGGACTGTTGTCCACATGCATTTTGTTATTCTTATAGAAAAATATCAACATATAATGTTTATATTGTTATAACTTTCAGGGTACTGCTATGCTTAAATTACGTATCATGGAGATTATAGAAATAATGTGGCGCTGAGTATGAATGACGACGCTAGTTCGAAATCTATAGCAACAAAGTCATTGTGTTGCTATAGATTTCGCCACTTCATAATAGCAGAAATGATCGAAGCAGCATAAAAAATATAAAGAAAATATCGTTTTTACCTATAACGGAACACATGCGTATTTTTTTATTCTTATTTTTCTTTACTTGGTAATTTGGAGCCTTTCTCCTGTAGTCTACTATATAATAATTTCCGTTGTGTATTTATTTATATCTTTCGTGTCACACATGATACTAGGAAGGGGTAAATCAACTTAATACATTTATTAGTTGTTACATCTTAGCTATTGTCATAATTTATACAGATAAAATATTTATCTTCATTTATACAAATTTAGTTCCCTTTCAGAATGAGCAATTTTATTAATCTGTTCCTTTACGATGGTTCCAATCTAATAGTAATGACTGTTTATTGTATCATTGAAGTTCAAATGTGTCACAAGGTCAAAATTGTGGATGGGGAAGGCGAGTCATTACTGGTTTAACTTAAGTAACCTTCACTTACCCATAATATACTTTTTTACCAATGCATGCACTCAATAAGATCTTAAAATAAACTTGTGGATAAACATGTGGATTGGAGGATAAAAAGTAAATATATTTTATTCGCATAATAAGATAAACCACATGGAATAATGAGATAGATAGATAGATAGATAGAATAAAAATGTCAGTTTGAAACCCACCTCATTGTTAAATATGGCAAAAACAAGGTAACTGGTGAAAAAGTACAGTGGGGACCTGACCCGTAGAAAAAGTAAAGTAAAAAAGAGGAGTAGAGGAGAAATAAAAACGGAAAATGATGGGCATTAAAGAAATAAACGGTCCAATAACCATTGACTCCCCAATAAACAATTTTCAGGAAAAAAAGAAGACACAAAAAGTTCTACACGAGCCTAACTGTGCAGGCCGGGTATAATTCTTTCCGGAAGGACAAGTCCTTCAATCGTAAAGCTCGAGATGCCATTCTAGGTTAGCACCATTCACTTGCACCTGTCATGATACAGTCATCCAACTTTTCAGAAAACCTCTCCCTCTCAACCTTGATCTTGATCTTCAACTGGTGCTTGAGGAAAGTAATCAGTAGACTCAACTTGAGCTACCGTGTGTCCGGGGAAAGATTTTTTTTTTTTTTTGCGGCAAATATGACGTCCCAGAACCATAAACTACCGCCAGATATTCTAGAAAGGGGGATTACTCCAGGAGCATTAGGCAAGTTCTTAGGGTTCTGCGTTGGCGGAGGTGAATTTGAATAGAGGCCTCAACATGTCTTTCCTCTGTTAGCAAAGGTCTCCCGTGAGAGCCTGGCAGTCGACTTTGCAGATTGCCTCCCCTTGGTGAATCCCTGATTCTGAGATAGTTTAAAGGAGAGAGATGGCGGAGTCCTAGAAGGAGAAGGGGGCTATTTTCATTATCTGCAGTTGATGTTGCTGGATTTTCTTCAGCTCTATTGTGTATATCCCTGTTACATGACCTAATCTGCCCTGCTTCAACAAGATTTTTTTAATTTTGTTTTATTTACAGTCCTGTTATCTTTCACTTGTTCCTCTCTCCGCCTTCTTAGTGAGGATGAGAGGTGGAAGCATTTCCTCCACCTCCATAAATTCCAGGAGAGGCTGCTGCTCCTGTTGCAGTTCTAGCGTCAGCTGCTGCTGAAATTTCTACTGCCGTTGCCTCTTTTCCGGGACATGCTGGGAAGAGTGAGAACGGGTTACACCATTAATCCCCTTCCGTACCACCTTCGATCCATCCTTTAGCAGCACTGAGAGCCTCCTTGGACTTGGCGTTGCTTGTTGGGCATGTGGCACCAGGTTGCGTCCGGGAGACGACTTGGGCAAGTGTCTGATAGCGCCACAAGACCAGTAGTGGGGTCTTCGTGCTTCCGCGATGATAGCTATTTTTCTTCCCCGGCAGATCAGTGTTTTGAGGATGTTCAAATATTCTTGCGAGTCACTGTCACTTGGAGCACAATATCTCCAGTGGCAATGCCCGCTTTGCTGATAACCGGTGTGACATCCTTGATACTGTAAGAAGGAGGCCCCAAATATTCCTCGGAAATGTCCATGGGCAACCCGTGTAAAGTTATTCTGTTCTTGCGTGTGCCGATGTACTCTCCTGGAATTTATGGAGGTGGAGGATGACCAGCCTCTCCTGGAATTTATGGAGGTGGAGGATGACCAGCCTCTCCTGGAATTTATGGAGGTGGAGGATGACCTCACCGATTTGGTGGTGATTATACTCCCCTCCAACTCCTTCGGCGCATTCTCCGTTGCTAGCAGGATATCTCACATGGCACTGCAGCTTTGTGCTAAAATTCTGGCCCCCAATATTGAGGTATTCATAGGCATTCTGTGTTTTGAACTCCCCCCATTTTTCTGGAGAGGTCTTGGTTCACGAGGTCAACTCCGCAAAAAAGATGTCTTTTCTCTTGGCCGAGTATCGAAATGTTTTCTTTTTTCTGTCCAGAGATGAAAAGACATCAACAAATGAGATTTTAAATTTAGCTATTTTATTAAACACGTCGAAGTGTACATCTCAATCTAGCCAATGTGGTTGCTATCTTACCATCACTGGGGAGAAAGTTTCCAGACGCAAAAAAAACCGCGTCTACATTGCATGACTTAACTCCCTGAAATCCCTTTCTATCTCTAACATTAACACGCTAGTTTCAGCCAATCAAAAACGACTTCCATTGTTTTCCTGAATCTGACCTCAAAAGACAAAATGTGGAAGTCAGAGCAAAAATACAATTCTCTAAAAAAAAAAAAATAGTCTACTAAACTATTATTTAATACCTGCTGACACCAATCACTTCCTGTGTGTTAACATCCGAGGTAGGTCAGCAAGTAGATAGTCCTCGTGGCCACCGCGATCAGTGCCTTTCCTCTGGAACTCTCAGGAGCTCGTTGCTCTTAATGTTCCTTTATATCAACAATATTCTTGGACGTCTTTCTTTTAGAGCATATCAGAAGCCGAAGTCAATATGTTAAGAGAAGTGTGGTTTTCTTGTTGCTCTAACTGCTGGATTGTCTCCACCATTTTGACCAATGCCAAAAACACGAACGAATAAAATAATAGTTCAAGTTAAATGTGACCAATTTATAAAACGCAAGAACACATGGGAAATTAGAGTGTAAAAAAATACCACTTACAAATTAGACCGAAAATTGTAATTTACGAAGACAAATCCAATAAGGAATGACTGAAAACATTCCCGTCCCAAAACAGATCATACGGATGCATGATGAGATTACTTTTTAATCAGTAAGATAAACCACTTCTCGGTCTCGTCCACCATATTGTTATTCCTTTTTGTCTTGAAATCAAAATGGTACAATCACTTGACTGTATCTCTTTTGCATGTTATCGCCGTTCTTCATTTGGGAAACATTTTTTCCATATTACTGTTAATTTGTCTACTTTTTTTGTTATATATATATATATATATATATATATATATATATATATAATAAATATCGTTTTGAAAATATTTTGATGCTAGTAATCAAATCAATCTCGAGGGAAAAAAGGTTTAAAAAAGAAAGAGCTACAAACATGTATTTTTGCCCTTTTGACGATTCGTTTTCTAGGTAGGTTTTTGGCTCCTAGGTGTATCTATCTATCTATATATTACATATATATATATTGTTTGCTTAGTAGTATTTTGCCTTGTACTTTCATTTTTGTGATTGTTTAATACAAAGTGTCTCAATTTTTTTGTTGCACGTTTTTATGAATTAAATTTAACCATGACCAATTAATGTACACTTAACTATTCCGTTTCTTGGACTGTAGTCTTACTTGTTGCAGTCTTTCTTGCGTGGTTCTCTGACACCTGTGTCTATTAAGTGATAGGGTTTACCATGGTTGTTGTTTTCATACCGTTGCTAATCTTCTTTTTCTCACGCGATGTCTTTCCATTGATATTCAGTTATATTAAACACATTTTTAATACGAAACAAAATATTGAACAAAAAGCGTTTTACATAATATCTAGAGTAATCAATGAATCATAGATACCACTGACTGTCTCATCTAAAACAGATAATGGTAACGGATTAATTAACGGGTTCATTGGCTTCGATTTTAGTTGTGAATTATTTTTCAAAACATGTTCCATTGCAACTTACTATTAAAATTTTCTTTTCTGATTCCTTTACTAGTGAAATTTAACAATATAAAATATTTTTGATTCACTAACTGTTGCTGCTAATGACAATACATTTCTTTTCATTCCTTTGCTAGAATTTAACAATATAAATATATGTGCTGTCGACGGCCATCTTTGCCCTTACACGCTTTTATGTTAGAATCGTAAAGCAATATGCAATGGATAGTTATGGAAGATGAGTTAACTGAGAATGCCATGGACTGAACATATGAGCAATGAGATGATTTATAAGGAAAATGGAAGCATAAGGAACATTTAGAAAAAAGAGAATGATATTTTGGGGACTCATGAAGATAAATTGACAAGATATACTGTATATTGTAAGGACAGAGAGAAACATCAGTTAAGCTACCAAACAGGCTTGTGAAAGTGGGATGATATTATAGGAATTTTGGTTAGTTAAAAGACAAACATTGTTTAAGGCTACAAAGCAGAGGAAGTTGTGGAAACATGATCATCAGTGCCTTGAAGTGACATGGCATATGAAAGTGTTGTGGTAGGATCCACCTAATTTGTATAGTGGAGTATCGACCATATAAATATGGTTGGTAACCGGGAAGACGAGGAAAGGAATCAAGAGATTCAATCCAGAGACTCTGCCCGACTGCGACTCAGTCAAAACATTCTCCAGGAACGGTCTTACGAGGAATATACAAAAGACTATATGTAAATATTGTGTACACTTTCTTGTTTCAATACATTTTGTTCTAAGTACATTTTGTGTTGCATTATTATTCGATGCATTATTCAAGTTTCAACAGAAAGAAAGAAATCTGTCAATAAGTAAATAATAATGATGTTATGTAGACGAAGACTGACGTGTTTAACTATCAGCGCAGAAAACGGGCGTTAAAATAAGTTTTAATCAAAACTGTTGTCTTTCAGTGATTAATCGATAAATACCGAATTCAAATGATTCCCAAACGAAAAAAATTTGAAAGAGAAATAATTAAATTGATCAAGGCATAAATTTCCTCAGATCTTCAAGGAAAAGACAAGACCTATAAAGAGTCCATCAGACAACATAATCATAAACATCATTAGAATCATAGCGACATTAGATAGATACTCACAAATAATACCAAAATACTAACAAAATCAAATAATAAAAATCGAATTATGATACTTGAAGCATACAAAAATAATCAATAAATAAAACAAAAACAATTAGAATTTAAGAGGGCATATCCTCAACTGTATAAAAATAAATGAAAATTGGGGTACCTCGAGGCGGTGTAATGGTTAGGATACTTATCTTGCTAGAACAATTACGACTGAGTAACGAGTTCGATCCTCACTGGGTGCCCCCTGCTTTTGGCCGTGTGCCACATCTAAGGTACGCTTGAAAAATCACTATAAATACAATTTACATTACTAACGTCACCACACACTCTGCCTACGTCAATATTTCTAGGAAACTCACAATTTACTTTGCCTACACTGATGAGGATATAAAGTTAAAAGCTTGAACCATAGCCCTTTTACTTTTTTTTCATACCTTGGAAATAAATTTGGGAATAACAGAAATTAATTGAGAATTAAAACGAATGCCACCTATGAAATAAAAAATATTTTTTGTACGGAAAGTAAGAACCTACTTATATCAAACTGCCTTTAAATTAAATGGCTGCAGAATAATTATCGTTGAACTTTTAAAATTTAAGCTTAAATATTAATGCAATACTTAAATTCAGCGATCAATTTTGGGTTCTTCTGTAGGTTGTTGTTACCTATCGCATACGGCAGAGTAAGCTTCGCAAAAAGAAATCTCCATCACCAGAGGACAAGATTGCAATCAAAAGAGCCATGGCTGCAGTGAAGGAAAGAAAATTCCCTGGCAGATGAAAACCCATATCAAACAGCAGCCAGGAGAGCTTCTAATACTGATAATATACAAAGAATTAGGGACTTTCAAACTTCTGAATAAGCCAAAGGCCCAATCAACAGCCATATGCAGAAGATAGTTTAAATGATGCCCGATAGGGCCAGTTTTAACCGTGTTAACAATATTTGTCTTAAATAAAAAAGTGCTGCTTAAACACACAGAATCTATATGACTCGGTATTTGAACAAGTAATTGGTTCAATTATACAGAATTAATTCAAAAGAAAAAAGAACACAGCAGACAACGAGAGAAATGTTAGAATCTATGCTCCACAGTAGAAATCATTCTATTCTGAAATATTCTAAAACCCTGGCTAACTTAGAAATCTCACATTGTTTACATTATTAGGACCATTGTCCGCATCTTTGTCGCCATATTTATCACAACCTTCTTCAGGTGGTTGGAATGTCGAACTGAACCCTTTATTTTGCTAGTTCCACGTGCCATGTTTGATGGATGTCAGTTATCAGTTATCTCCTGTTAATTTCCCTCTGAAAGTTCTCCACTGCCTTAACCGGGTATTGAACTCACACTCTTTGGGTCCTGTCACTTGATCTAACCAACGCCTTTATCCACTGTGCGATGTGTCCTTGAGGTATGAATCTAGGTATGAATTTCTGGGTATTATAAACCTAATGTCTTCAGCAACCATTTTTACCAGTGCTCATATTGCAATTTTGCTGTTATCATTGCATGTTTTTACCAGAGTTCATATTGCAACTATGTTTTTATCATTGCTTTTCTCTGGCACTCCTTATTACTGGTTCCCATATTGTATTTATTTATATGCTTGGTTGGCTCAGGAGATTTTTGTGGCCCAGCATATGTACTGATTCCTTATAGAAATATAGACACACTTAGCAATCTCAATATAGGCACTTTTTAAAAAAAATTTTATGTATTTTCTAACGATTTTTACTGTTTTTCTTCCAATAGAAGATTCAGGATCCACTAAGAGTAGAGGGCTAATGGGACGTAAGAGAAGGCGGTAAAAGGGCAGATTAGGATGATATGTAGGATATATAAATTTACCCCTAGAACTAAAGAGCAGGAAGTCATTATTTCGGCAATCTGATCCAAAAAACAATAGAAAATTGGGAAGAAACTGTAGGAATGAGGCTTCCTTTATACCAATAGATCACGAAGTGAATGAGAATGATTCAACCATTTTAGCGCCTTTTAGATTTAAATGTCTGAACTGGGGAAAATAAAGAATGTATTTTCTCAGAACATTTGCTATTGAAATTGCGATACATTAGCGAGAGCATACAACGTTATGTGTGTGAAAAATGGCCTGGAATACAATCGCATGTTGATGCCGTTGAACTTATGCAGCTCCAAACAAAATAACGCAGCAATACTAATTTTGGTTTGATCTAACACATGTAAATATAAAACATGTCAGATGGAATCATGTGCTTTTGGAACGGTACGAGGAACCACTAATTATCACATTATTTTAGTGATATTAATTCCACTTGTGTCTGGGAAAATTTGAGACGTTTAAAGCAAGGAACTTGGAATGGAAGCAAGGAATCTGGTATTTAAAAAGTCAGAATTTGTTCTATGAGGATGAAATGTTAGTAGCGTGGTTCTTAAGGTGTTAAACTTAGAACCATTTTCCACCGATGAATAGTTAGAGCCAGATGAGGAGAGTGATTATATCTTAAAAATCTACCTAGTAGATTAAAATTCAAAATAACGTCTAATAATTTTCTGCTTGAATTTTTCAGGTTTAATCGAGCACCCACACATCTGATTCTAATGTATAGATGCAAAAGCTTATAAGAATTCAGTAATTGCATCTGTTATATAATAGTGTTACTAGGGCATTTTTAAAAGAGAAGATACTGTATTAAATCACTTAAAGTATGAAGATTTCAAAAGTCGGCATAAGTAAATTTACAGAATATGATAGAAATATAAAAAATCGATACTAAATAGCAACTGAATAGATGAAAAAACAATACATATGAACATTAAGAAAACAAAGCAATAAATGGAGAAATGAAAGACGTAGAACAAATGATAGAAAAAAGTAAAAAAAGAATCAAAGAAAAAAGAGGTCGAAGAAAGAAAAAAAAAACGCTTTGTAAGTATTTAAAAGGTCGTGAATGAAAAATGAAATTGAATAAAAAATGAAAGAAAAAGCTTGAAAAAAGAATGGCTGATGACGAGTGAATGAATTAAAAAATATCAAAATTTGACGTCAAATAAATCAAATTAACATCAAATGTAGAAAAAATGGAAATAACATAAATACAAAACTAGTACCGGAAGGCATCAGTAGGTTCTATTTTTTTAAGATGAAGAAAAAGATATTGTAAAAGCTACTCAAAAAGATCAGAGATATGTTGAAGGATTTAGAAATTGAAAGGAGAAATCGATGCAATAATCAAATTAATGAAAATGAATAAAGCAAATGAATTAATAATCATGACAAAAAGCATGGTTAAGATTTGCACGATCCTGAATCTATGTTGGGATGTGTTATAAAGTCGAAAGGCAAGTGTGTATATTGAAGTAGAAAAAGTAGAGGCAACATTGTTAGTGATCTAGTGAAGAAAAACTTAAAGAAAGTAAGGGAAACACGAAAGAGCAAAAGTTTATGAGGAGGACTCAAATGAGAAAGAGAAGAAATGAAGATATGAAGAAAATTAGTTTAAGATGAGATTGGGATATACACTGTAGCAAAATATATAAATGTAAAGAAGGCAAACGGATTTGAAAATGAAAAGAAAAAAAGAGAAAAAAAGAGAAAAAAAACAAGTAAAAGAGAAAAGAAAAACATACGTAAAAGGAAAAAGAAAGCAAAAAAATGAGAAAGAAAATAAGAAAAGAAAAAAGAAGGTATAAGATAAGAAAAGAAAAAACAAATGGAAAAGAAAACAAAAGAAAAGTAGGTTGAAGAGCACGTGAGAGACATATTCATTAAAACATGTTTGAAGAAATAAAGAGAGAGAGAAAAGTCAGTGAGAAATGTCAGTAAGAGAGAGAAAGAATTCAGTGAGAGAAAGAAATGTGAGTGAGAGCAAAGTGAGAAAGAGAACAGAGAGAGAAAAAAGAAAAAAAAAGAGTGAGAAAGAAAAAGTGACATAAAGAACGAGGAAGAAAGAAAGAGATAGAAAAAAAGAGAGAGAGAAAAAAAGGAAAACTAAGAAAAACGAAGAAAACGAAAAGAAAACGACAAGCGAAGAAAAACGATGAAAACGAAAGACGAAAGAAAATTAAGAAAAACGGGAAAAGGAGAAAAACGAAGAAAAAAAACGAGAAAAAAGAAGAAAAAACGAGAAAAACGAAGAAAAAACGAGAAATACGAAAAAAATACCAAAAAAGGGGAAAAACGGAAAAAAGGAGAAATACGAAGAAAGACACGAAAAAAGATAAACCCGAAAAAAATAAAAATAAAACAAAAACGAAGACGACGAAAATGAAAAAAAGAAAAACGTAAAAGAAAAACGAAAAAAAAAATTAAAAAGTAAATGAAAGTACGAAGATAAAGAAAAAACGAAACAGTAAAATAAAAAATGAAGAAAAAGAAGAAAAAGTACTAAAAGAAGGAGAGGAGATTGACGCGCTAGTGAAGGTAAAATCACTATTAACTTTAATATCAGAAAATCAGACATAAACGTTAGGAAGACACAACATTTGTAGGAAAAAAAGAGAGAATTAATGAAGAGAAAAGTGAAAATTTCACTCGATACTAAACAAAAGTTAAAGTAGACATTTCTATACAAAAAATAGTACAAGTTTACCACCTGCAAATGCATAATCCATAAAAATCGAAAAGTAAAGCTGCATTAAGTCGAAAGAGCATCGGAAGTCCAGCTGCGTTGTAAATGCGGTGCATTAGTAAAAATGCAATTTGAAAAATCCAGTTAAAAACAGAGGCTGAGACATTGAGTTGCTCACAGGGCCATAACGATAAATGGAGAAGGAGAAAAAAACTGAATGGAAATTGTGAGAATACTCAGATAGAAAAAGTCGTTCTTCATGGATAAAATTTGGTGCTGAAATATGCTAGTGTCCGGCCTTTTTTTTACATGAACGTCTAGGCGTATATTTGTAAAAGGTAGTAATTTAGTATGACCATTATGAGGTACTATAGAAAAGACAGAGAGAGAAATGAACGCATAAATGGAAATCCCGTTAGCCTGTCAAAAGATTATCTTTTATTTCGCACATACGCTTACAATAGCATAGTAATTTTTATATATATTTATATATATATATATATATATATATATATATATATATATATATATATATATATATATATATATATATAGATTAAAAAAAAATATCTCGTTACCTGGTCAAAATATATTTAATGATATTTCATCAGTAACGCCTCATCAATATTTAAAATATTTTAAGCTCATTCGAGAATTTAACGCTATTTCTATATATAATTTATGTGAAACACTATATATATATATATATATATATATATATATATATATATATGTGAAATAGTTTATTAATATATGTGTGCGTGTGTATGTATGTGGGCATGGTGCAATGAGTATATGCTCGTCATATAATATATTATTTTTAATTTCACGCATATGCATTGTTTGTTTTTGATTTCGTCGACTGCACACTATGTTAGGCTTAGGTCGGCACCGTCTGTGAAAAATAAGGCACCATGTTACAATTCACAAAGGAAGCGTTAAGCTGTATTGATTGGAAATTGCACGAAAGTCCAATGCCAACATTTAAGAATTTTTGGGTATCAACTTGAGAAGAGTGCAAAGGATTCAGAAAGAGTTGAATGAGTCTAATGGTGATTAGGAAGAAATTTGGTGTGATCCCTAAAGATGGCGACGTTATGCTACCACCCATTTCCCCACCGGGTCTCAGACTCAAGACGGAGGCCCATATCAAGTTTCTTGAACAGATAGTGCTACCTAGATCAAGAGGGTGGCAGCTGGAAAACTATATCTGACAACACGATGCCGCACTATCAGACAATTTCTGCGACGACACAAACCCTTACATTGGCCATCTAAATCGCCAGAAACAACCCCCTTATCTGTAGGGCGCTGGTGAGCTAGTGACCAACAATTTTTTTTAACAGCAAGTTTGAACTGAATGCAAGGTTTATGGCAGCATTCAGCAACTTAAAAAAAGTAGATAGTCCAAAAGAAATTTAGTTAACAGTCATAATATATTAAGGTTAATCTTATATAATTTATTATCTTATCGTTTTATTATTTATATGATTTAGTTATGTGATCTATGTACCTTTATGTTTTGGTTTGTTCATTTACTTATTTATTTATTTAGTTTGTTTATTATTTTTTATTTATTTTCTATTTTATGATTTTGTTAAATTTTCAGGTTTTTTCTTCTATTAGAGGTTTCTTTTTTGTTTTTGTTTTTATTTTTATTTACATACTATTATATAATTATTGTTAAATTATATTGCCTCTCCGGCCAAAGTGTCAACTGTTCGTGTGACGTTATATTTGATCTAATTCTGGCTACAACAGACCATTTGGGTACGTTGGATTTGAATTTGTATCAGCAGGCTACCTAACATAGACGATTTTTATTGGTCTTCCCATTATAAACTTTTTATTATTTTGCTTCCTTACATTTCTCTATCATCTTTCTTTTATCTTTCTCTATTCTCTTTTTTTCTTTTGAGAAGGGATTATATCTTTTCTTTCTTTCGTTCTCACTCTTCTTATTTTTAATAGATTATTTCTTATCCTTCTCTTCTTTTCTTTTCTTTTTCTTTTTTAGAATATATCGTGTGGCTTTCTATCTTTTTCTCTCATTGACTGTACAACACTTAATCGTGTCTGGAAAGAATTCAGTGTCCGATCAATCATGATGAATATGTACTTGCTTAGATTTGTTGTAATTATTGTATTTTAGAAGCTTGTCATCCTTGCAGTTTGAGAGCGAGACTATATGATAGATCAACAGTCATCCGTTGACCGTCTACATTTTTCGTTCTGTCGCCATAAACTGTTGTATTCTCTGCATAATGATCTGTATTACCTGCTATTCGAATAACTTGTTACCTTGCTGTTTTGCGTTTGTGCACAAATATAAACAATTAGTGTGCAGATTCTGATGAATCCAGGATATATGCAGTGTCGATGGCATTTTGCTTAACTGAGTGTGCATTTCATCCAACTACTGGCAATTAATTTCTGCAGTGATTCTCTGGTTCAATCCCGGAAAACTCTAAGTGATAACGCCAATGGCGGATCAAAATCTATTAACCATTGCCTTCTATTTTGTTTTGGAAATTGTTTTGGCATTTCATCATGATCAAAGCATTGTGCCGATCGTTTACGATTTTCATAATGCATCTATTTATCATCAAAAATCATTATACGATCAAGAAACTGATCATCTGAATTTCGTTCATTCAGTATCAAACACACTTCAAAAACGTCAAATATGTTTTTAACGTTCACAGATTTCATGTGCAGCTCATTTGTCGTGTTTATCCACTTTGCCAAAGTCTTTCAGCTGATCTGATATTGTTGCAATGCTGACACCCATTGACTGAAGCATTTATGGCACTTGGAGTTTTATCGGACATTTTTTTTATTTTCAGACGTTGATTGTCAATTTCACGTGCTCGTTCTCTATCTTCAAAACACTTACCACCGATTGGAACTTCAGAAACCAGTGCCGTGTTATCCGGTTACAAACGGATTCTTGACCACATGCTCTCTCAATGTTAACAGCAGTTTGAGAAGGAGTATGACCAAGATAAAACTTTAAAAAGTAAATACATCTCTTCTTTCTTCATGTTCAATATGAGGATTATACATGTTAATTTATGAATAGGATTGAAACATTTACATAGAGAGCACATTTTTTTTAGGAATGGGCAAGGATGCGAAGGTTATCATGAATCAAGCGCGTGAGCAACGATAAGGTTTTGGAAAGTGCATAATCTCCAAAACCTCATCGTTGCTCACGCGCTTGAGGAAGCTTATACTTAACATCAAGAAGAAACAGATGAAATTTATAGGACACGTAATAAAAAAGGAGGACCAGGAGAATCTGATACTCACAGGTTGAGTAGAGAGAAAGATAGACAAGGGAAAGCAACGCATGACATAACTGGCGGGCTTAAGCAAATGGACGATTGAATGTGGTCTGTGGAAGGTGGCAGGGAGACAAAACATATTGAGAGATACAACGTATAGGAGAAGGGGAGAGCCATGATCGCCTACGTCCTAAAGGGACACGGCACTTAAAAATAAAGAATAAAAAATAATACTTTTGGACAATTATTATAATGCTATATTAGACTAGGAGACAATTATATGCGTTATTCTAAAATCAGATATTATTTTTCGAAAAACATAATAAAATTTTCCTTTGCACTTTGCTGATAAAATCTGATATCACTCACTGAAGTTATCAATATTTTAATTATGATAGCTATTATAAGCAGAAAATTAGACTGTATATTGCCTGTAATCGTATAAGTATACCTAAAATATTTCTCCAACATAAGTTTGTTAATATCAAATTTTTATGTGAAAATATTGACTTGCATAATAAAATCTAACATAGGGTGTATGAATCCTTGTAGTTATGCAAGCATGTACATACGTGTGTCTTTCTTAGTTGATGCCATGTAACACACTGGTAAAATATAGCTGATATAGCATAAGAGAAAAAATGCATTGAATTAGAACGGTACGTACTTAAGAAATCGGGGATGACATTGCCCGAGGTAAATTGAGATTAAATATTCGAGCGAAGAAAGAAAGCAAACGGTGACTAAAAACAGAGAGCAAAAATAGTTATTTTATGAAGATCAGTAGTCTATGTTAATGTCAATTCACAAAGGTATGCACATTGGGTTAGAGTGATCAGCAGGGTATTGGAAAATCGAAATGTCGAAGGACATGAAAGAATTAAATAAAACATAAATTGTTCTGTCGGTAAGAAAGAGAATATGACAGATTAGAAAAAAAAATAGAAAGTTGGTAGAAATATAAGGCGATGAGCGGCAGAAAGAACTGGTTAAAGTGCGTGAGGAAAAGAAATTTGAATGTAAATATTCGGAAATCCAATAAGAGAACAAAATATAAAAGACGAAAGTAATTGAAAAGTGCCTGAAGAAAGTGAAAGTCGACAAAGTTCGTTATGAAAAGAAAGGAAGAAAGGAAAAAAAAGATAAGTTTTTTTAAAAATAAAACAACAATAAAAGAGAGAAAGGGAAAACTTAGCCTGTGAGATCAATGAAGGAAAAATTGAATATTGGGAATAGGAAAATAAGAAGTAGAATATTTGAAAGACGGCAATGGAACTTAAGCCTATGACACTGAAATCAACTTACTTTTTATCTTTCTTTAAATAGGAAGGAAGTATAATTCAAAGAAAGAAATGAAACTACTCTAAGACAAAAATAAAATAGAACGAATAAATGAAGGAAGTAAAGAAAAACGGAAAAAGGGTAAATATTAGACATTGGGTTCAACAAAAAAACTGAAATAATAAATGACTGTCAGAAGGAAAGTAAGAAAATATGTGAGGACAACAATAAGTAAATGAATGAAAAAATAAAGTATAATATGCTTAAGAAAGCCAACTGTGCGTTGTGATAATTATGTTTTTATAATTTTTGCATTATAGAATGTCTAAGATTGAAATAGCTGCTTCAATTTTTTTTTCTTTTAATATTTTGGAGCTGAAATAACATTGACTGTGTAAGCTACCATTTTTATAAACAAAACAAAAAAAAAAAAACAAGAAAAGAAAACATTTATTTCCAGTAGAGAATTACCTGAAGGCGCTCAATTATTTTTTCTTAACTTCTCTCATTCTATTTCACAATATCGGGGAATCTCGAGTCTGGGTCGATTTCACTTATCTGCAGAAGGGACCAGAAGCCGTTTAATCAGTAAGCAATGGTTGATCTGGTTGAGGTGGTAACTCCACGAATTGGCTTTTAGGAATCTATCTACGAGTTACCTCGACGCACTTTTTCAAAAATAGTGTTATATGAGGAAAAAACGCCTAAAACGTATATAAAGTTAATTTCACCATCTAAACTATCGGTAGTAGGACTGATTGAAGAAATGTCTGCTAGAAAAATTATTTCTGTCTACAATATTGAGGAGGTGATAAATATTATTGTAGAAGTGTTTAGATTATATAAAGTTGCCATATTATAATTTGCGTGGTGAGTTGGGTGGAATTACCCGTATAGTAAAAATCAACCAAATATCTGCTAATATGCTGATTTTAATAGAAATTCATTTATGAATTTATTAAGGAAAAGATTATTTCTCCAAAATTGTTTGTAAAAATAATTTCATTAAATCAATCACCCCTGTTTTATAGAATAGGTGATTTTTAAATCAGTTGAAATTTTATTTGAATCAACAATCGACGGAGTACATATTCCCAGAATATGAAAATAAAAGACACACACACACACACACACACACACACACACACACACACACACACACACACATATATATATATATATATATATATATATATATATATATATTTAGAATATATATTTCAAGAAATATGTTTTAAACTTAAAATGTATTATCATAACTATTATCATCTCTATCAATATTATCATCATCAGTATTATATTATTACCAATATTATTATTATCATAACTCTTAATATTATTATCATTATCACTATAATTATTACCACTATTACTATTCTTATTGATATTATCACTATTTACTTACTATCACTAATAGTATTATGTTTAGTATTTTTACTATTATCACCGTTATTTATGATTGCTATCATCACTATTACTATTATTCTTACTATTATTATTATTGTTACTATTACTATTATAACTATCAACATTATCACTATTACTATTTTCACTGTTATTACTATTACTATTATTACTATTATAATTATCACTATTACTACTATTAGTGTTACTATTATTATTATCACTATTATTACTATTACTATTATTATCACTATTACGATTATTGTTAATTTCACTTCTATTATTGTCACTATTATCACTATTACTATCATTCGTACTATTATTATTAGTACTATCGTCACTGTTACTATTATCACTATTATTAGCATTAGAATTATTATTACTATTATCATTAGTATTATTATCTCTATTATGATTATTATTATTGTTATTATTAATAATCATAATCCTTGAGAATATCTGATCTCGTGTTATTAAATATTCTACAAAAAATTACTTGATTACTCAAGTCAAATAAACCGAAATCGCATTTGTAATAAAAAAAATGCATTTTTAATCACTTAATTAAATTATTTAAGTAGCAATTATGGAAGACCGTTTAAAAATGTGAAAACTACTCCTTTGCCTACGCGTGGCACTTTTAAACAATGCATGCTTATAAGCTTACGACAAAAAAGAATGAAATCGCTCACTCATATTTCAATGGTCGATAAGAGTTCCGGAAATCTAAGTAGCCCTTTATCAATCATTGCGTAATCATATTCTTTTTTTAACGCTATAACAAATCTTTTCTAAGAATTTCGAAATTTATGCGGCAAAAAAATGCATTTATTATTGCAGGACTTTTTAATTTTTATAGAGCGTGGTGCAGGTATATAACATTGCACTTGCTATTTCATTTTTGCTTCCATCTATTTATCCATGAATTACAACCGAATGAACAGTTTAACATCCACCTACTGGTTTGAAGAAGACGGCCCGAAATTTCAAAACATGAATATTTGCACGAAAATGAGGGAGAGTGGGTGAGATACAGAGAGCCAGTGAGATAGAGGGAGTAAGTGAGAGAGTAAGTGAGAATGAGATATGGAGAGATTAAGAGAGATTAAGAGAGAGAGACGGTAAGAGAAAGAGAAGGATTATGAGAAAGGGTGTGAGATGGAGTAAGAGAAACAGTGTGAGAGGGAGTGAGAGAGTGTTTGTGAAAGGGATTAAGAGAAGGAGTGCGTGAGAAGGAGAAAGTGAAGAAGTGTATAAGGGGGAGTAAGAGAGAGAGTATGTGAGGGGGAGTTAGAAATAGTGTGTGAAAGGAAGTAAGAGAGAGTGTAAGAGGGATTAATAGAAAGAGAGTGAGAGGGAGTAAGTGAGGGACTGTGTGAGGAGAAAGAGCGGGAGTTTGTGAGAGGAAGTAAACAAAAGAGTGTTTGAGAGGGAGTAAGATAGAATGTGAGCGGGAGTAAGAGTTAGTGTGAGATGGAGTAAGAGAGAGGGTGACAGGGAGTAAGATATAGTGGGAGAAGAAGGAAAGAGTAACTTGAGGGAGAAGGAGGAGGTATATATATATATATATATATATATATATATATAGATATAGAGAGAGAGAGAGAGAGTGAGGGTGAAGAGGGAGATAGACAGAGCGTAATAGAAACTCACAAGATGTTAACCAAAACTTTTGCGAATTTGACCATGAACAACAAATACTTACCTTAAAAACAAATACTAAAAAAAATTTCAACTTTTGCATATATCCTCACTAACAGGCAAAAGAAGACGACTTACAAACTTTATCTCTAAAAGTCAGTATTTCGTTTAATTTGTTAGCGCTGTTAAGATTTCTCGTGTTGTGCATCTAAACAAATTTTAATTCGTTTCAAACCACAGCCGTACACAGATTTTAGCGTAGCTTTCGACGAGCAGATATATATTAATGTTTTATAATTTGTTGTTCGATTTTAATTTCTACATGAAACTGAAGACTTTTACTCTCCTTTGCGAAAGAAGATATTTACATTAAAAACCAACACATTCATTTATGACGAGTACAAATATCATGTAAATAAATTTACTGCGTACGAACAATCTTATAAAAAATGTACACAGAACATGTATTCTTAAAGTTGATAATTTATCAGTGATCCCAAACCATGCAGCGAGCAGTTATGTTCCTGTATCAGTAGCAGAAACAATAAAATTCGGCATCTTGATTGCGACACACTCATGAAGATGACAAAACCTAATATAACAAATGGTTCGGATATGAATTTGAGCGTTGAACTAGGTAAATGCTAGTTGATGACTCATAACATTATAAACGTTATTTTGTGGATATCCTTGTTTGTATAGACGTCCAGTGATTCACATTGTTCAAACAAGGGTATCCACAAAATGCAGTATTAAGGAATAATTTTGGATAAAGTATCAATTGGTTCTTTGGAAATTAGTTTGTTTACCTTTGGGATATGAAAATGCGAGTAGACATTGTCTTTCAAGACGATACATACAACGTGACATGCATTCTTCAAAAGGGTTACTGAATCTTGCTGATATTAAGATATATAAAAATATAATGCCCGACACAGAAAGTTAACTAATGAAGCAAAAAAGTAAACAGAATTAAATAATCGTAGACCAAACTCACATTTCTATTTCTGTATTCATTGGAACAAGACAAATTTTCTGGATAGAATCTATATTGTATGTTTATAAGTCTACCATTCGTCCCTGCTTTGTAGATTGTTGCCACATCTGGTTTTGATCTCATTCGATTTGTTTAGAGATAGATAAAATCCAACGAATAATCTACAATGTTATTGGTCCTGGCCTGCCTATATAAGCTAATATCACTTTCCAACCGCCATAACGTAGTCTCCATGTTACATTCGTATCAAAAATGTACTTTTCTCTGTGATGACTACACATTATGAATTTAAGCTTAGTACTAGATTAACAGCAGGGTCTCATTATTTTACAATTGAAATGGCTAGATATAGTTGGATGGCTTATTTTATTTGGCGGCATGCCCAAAATTATGTTATTTAATACCTGAATCTAAACATTTTGAATACAGTTTTATGTCTTCAAAACTGATAAAATGTATTATTGTTCATTTTGCTATAAAACGTATTGTTGATAACTTTACTAAATAAATGTTTTATATTTTCATAGTGATTTGTTTTTGTTTGGGGGATTCACTATTTGCCCATCGCTAGAACCCTAACAGGTGCCACTACCATGTTTCAGGATGGACCTGGGAGCAACAGCAATTAAGAGGTGGTTCCATTTTCCTCAAAATCTCCAATCTGCCGATCAGAGGCATTGCTGCTGAATTTAGTTTATCGTCATACCCAGGATTAGGCTAGATGTAACTGTATGTCCTATGCTAACAGATTCTTATCTCACACTTCTCTCTTCTGGAAACAATCTTCCGACTTCTTCATTCCAGGTGAAACTATAAATGCAAAGACACTCACTATATACTATGTTCCTAATTCGTGTTCTTTTATTGTTCTCACTCCTTAATATATTTTTTTATTTTTTCATATTCTCTAACACTCAGTAATCCCTTGCGTCTTAGGAGTTTTATTGTTTTGATTAGTGAGAAATAATTAAGAAAGTGTAAGAACTGAAACAAAGCTAATACATTTCTGTCCAATATAAAAGCGTAAACACTTAATATATGCTTGAATTTCCTCTCATATATAATATGTGTTTAAAATTTCCGAAATCTTTGAGGATCACCAGCAAGATACACAAAGTAAGATAAGAAACCAAACTAATAATTAAAAAAATATTATGTAGAGAAAAAAAGTTGATGAACAAGAGAATAGATATTGACTAAATCAAAGTAGGTGGCGAAAATTACAAAAAATAAATCATTTCTAAAACGAACCAACAGAAGAAATAAATAAAAAGATCATAGCAAAGGCAGCAGAATTGAAGAGGCAAATACATAGATATCAGCGATGGCAACAAAACAGAATAGCATACACAGAAAAAAATTCAGAAATTCTTAGACATAATATTAATAATGACAAGGAGAAAGTAATAACCATCAGTTCCAAAATCAAAGTTTCTAAGAAATGAGACGCAACGTAAACCTTTCCAAAAGAGAAATTGGAATGAAAGCAGTGATGGCTTTTTTGTATATGCCATGCCCCCTCAGACCATTTATTTGAAGAAAAGAAGACATTTTAAATTGCACTTTTTTCTGTTTATCTGTACCATAATATACATGGATTAGATATAACGTTATGAAAAGAAACATGAAGCAAGAATGTTAGCTATTGTCTCGTAAGATCTAGCTTTGTCAGAATTGGTGGTACATAACAATGGAATATTCTAGCATTCATTTTGATTCGATGAAGTCCGCTCTCATAAAAAATAAGATTTGATTTCACTAACAAATTATGGCCAGAATGAAATGCTGTGCAGTATCCACGCTTAGTTGTAGTCGACATATTACCAGGTCACCGAGAAAGGGACATCTTCAACGGCTATCGAAGCAATGAAAGGCGAAGAACAGACATTTTGTGGCTGTGTCAGAAGAAACAGAAGGGATAGTGTTACAAATTGCGATTAGCTTTAATCAAAGTGAAAGACAAATCACTTCTTTATGGGTTGTGTCTCCTCGGGACGTAGGTATCATTGCTCTCCACAATTTCCTTTCCGTTGTAGCTCTGTATTAACATTGTCTTTTGGTTATTTCTCCTAAACACTGTTCCGACAACCATTTACTCAAGCTCACTGAGAATGTCATGCGTTGTTTTCCTCTTTTCCAAGTCCAAGTGTTTTCTTTCTTCAGTAAATCTCTGTGAGGTTTAGTAACTAAAGTTTTAGCAAATTTTCTTACGTAGTTTATCATGCCTATTAGTCTTTGTAATTCACATACATTCTTTGGTTGTAGTAAGTCTATTATTACTTTCAATTTTTTTGGAGAGAATTTGAATGCCATCTTTTGTAAGTATGTGTGCAATAAACTTTATGCTACTGACAGAAATGATAAAATATTCATTTAATATGAGTCCCGCCGCTTTCAATTTTTTAAGAACTAGTCTTAATCTGCTATCGTGTTCCTATTGATTCTTTCTCTCACAAGGATGTCGTCAATATTATATATACCTCCGGCTATACTTGCCAAAAAAATATGAGAACACTCTTCCCTGATTAATACAATCCTCAAAAATTTAAAAGCAACGCAAATAACCACATTCTATGTTCTTTTTTTCCCGTTAATCTTTTGTCATTTCTTCAATTCTCGCCATACACAGTCTTTTCTCTCACTTTCACTATCTGTAAGTCCCTGCATTCTAGTGGCATTTTTTTAAAAAAATATCCATTAAGAGATCATATAGGTTAGTTATGGAGAAGGAGAGCTGAAGATGCGAACTACCATCTTGAAACGTCAAAATGAACAGAGTAGAGAAATTTAACAATAATTTAAAAAGCTAAGCATAGAGAAACATTTCGTTAGAAAGAAAGAGTACCCAGCTGTTACGTAATATCAGTCCTCCTATATGTCAGTAGATATCCTGTATTTGGAGATTCATCGTGTAATTCACTTGACTCCCTTCTAGCAGTTGATTACTTCTTCTACGCGCCGCTGGCGAATCTTATTTGCTGTTCTGGTCTTAAGTATTATCGTTCATTACCAATCTTCAATCTTCAATCTTCAATCTACCAATTATGTTCAGTAATTTTCCTTAGATTACAACATATATTCTGCCTTTTTTTTTCCCAGATTAATGACTAAAATGGCTTCAGTTGAATAAGACATGTGGTCTTAATGACAACACTTCATCAGATTCTATAAACTGAAACTACAAGATCAGAAAGAACATTACCAAATAACAAAACCATGTCGAAGGCTGCATCAGCAACAACAACAAATATGGAGCACATGTTACTAGAACGGAAAATAATGAGATAATAAAGATGTTTACTTTCCACGATATTTTAAACAAAAGGTGTGGGAGCAAACACACATCTATACTACAGAGAGCGATAACAGTGAAAATAGTTTTAATAAATATATATTTATACATTTCAACTGAGATTAACGCTGTTTAGTCAATGGATGCCTAATGATTCCTGTATGGAAACCGACAAGTTCGTCATTATAAAGATAATTCATTTTAAAACTTTTATATTATACCTTCATTGGTAAAAGTACTGGAATAAAACCATTTCCATTCTAATGTTATCAAGTCGAACAGGTATCAGTGCGCAAAATTTGACATTGGTAAGTTGCATTGGCTCAATTTAATTAGGCATAGGACTTTTCTAATACCGTATTTTCACTTAACTGTATTGTCCACTGCGGATATCCTTCAGAGAAAATAGAGACCTTCTCACTTGACAAGGATCATATTTAACAAGATTTTATTGATTCATTAAATGAGTGTTATGCAATGTTTTAGTGATTCATGCTTTACTTTCGAAAGTACTAAACCCTTCAGCTTCAGGAATTAACACCTCTTTACAAGTTTTTATCATTTTCGATTGGGTTTCTTTCACGACAAGATGCGTAAACTTGT